TTTTTTTGAAGATATTCTTTTGAAAAAAAAAGCAGTCTAGATGGGGTTCTTCCGAAAAAAAACCAACCCCTTTTTCCAAAGAACTTTGTAAACCTCATTTTTTCAGCTATTTACCATAGTTTAGTGAATATAACCTGCACCCGTGTATAATGCGCAGTTTTTCTTTTTTGTGTAAAAAACCCCTTAGATTACCCATGGATGTGTATAGCCCGCGAGGCCTGCATTCATCCACTCACTGCATTCACAATCATGCCCAGGCCCCACGCAGCCACAGCCAGGCACAACCCAACCTCTTCCGGGCGGGGGAGCAGAGAGCACAGTGCAGGCAGGCTGGCCAGCTTGCGGGAGGGGAGCCTAGGCCCTGCGCAGCTACAGCCAGGAACAACACACCTTTCTGCAGGCAGGGGAGCTGCTTGTGAGCAAAAATAAACTTGTATACCCCGCGGACATGTATAATACGCAGGGGGGAGGGGCGGGGTTTGTAAAAACATGTATAACCTGTGGGTTATATACTCTAATTTACAGTAAGTCCCAGGTAGACTGTGAAGAGTTATAAAAGGATCTCAGAATTGGATGACTGTCAGCAAAATGGCAGATGTAATTTAATGTTGATAAATGCAAAATAATGCACATTGAAAAACAGATTCCCAACTATACATATACAATGACGTGGTCTTAATTAGCTGTTACCACTTGTTGCAGAGTGATATGTTTGTTCCCCTCCCAGGGGGAGCTCTTGTGTCTCTGAGCTTCTTGGGACCACGACCAACCCTGCGCATCCTACAATACAGACCACAATTATTCACTCTGACCCATCCACCTGAGGCAGGGTGGCCTACCTGCCAGAGTCTCTGGGAAATGGATCTGGCCCCCCAGCTCAGGGATTGGGGTGGTGGTAGGGGTACACTGGCCCTCCCTACTCCACCAGGTCCCAGCCCAGGGCCCTGTTAGCAGGTTCACTGCTCCCTCTCAGTGGGGAGTCCAACCGCAACATGCTGAGAGCCATAGGCCACAAGAAACCGCTCTGGGCTACTTCTTAACAGTCTCTGCTGGCCTCCCTCCTGGGTCCTTCCTCCATATCCTCTGCTGTGACATCAGGGTCTTGCTGGCTGATCTTCAGGGCCAGTCCTCCTGGGGTTCTCTTGCAGGAGCTCAGGCAATACATCCTTCTTCCTCAGCAGCCAGCACAGACTGAGCCTCTCTCCAGGTTTTTATACCTGGGCTGCAGTCTGAGCATGCCCGGAAGGGCTGCGGGGCCACGTTTTTCTTCAGCTGGGTGATCCTGGTCAAACCTAGCTTTCGCAGTTCAGGGCTGGTACACATCTGGAGTATTGTGTCCAGTTCTGGGCCCCCCACTACAAAAAGGATGTGGACGCATTGGAGAGGGTCCAGCGGAGGGCAACCAAAATGATTAGGGGGCTGGAGCATATGACTTATGAGGAGAGGCTGAGGGACTTGGGTCTGTTTAGTCTGCAGAAGCGAAGAGTGAGGGGGGATTTGATAGCAGCCTTCAACTTCCTGAAGGGAGGTTCCATGGCAGAACAAGGAGCAATGGTCTCAAGTTGTGGTGGGAGAGGTCCAGGTTGGATATTAGGAAAAACTATTTCCCTAGGAGGGTGGGGAAGCACTGGGATGGGTTCCCTAGGGAAGTAGAGGAGTCTCCATCCCTAGAGGTGTTTAAGTCTCGGCTTGACAAAGCCCTGGCCGGGTTGATTTAGTTGGGATTGGTTCTGCCTTGGGCAGGGGGCTGCACTTGATGACCGTCTGAGGTCTCTTCAGCTCTATGGGTCTATGATTCTATCATACTCCTTAAGGGAAAGATCTAGTAATCATGCTGGATAGTTCTCTGAAAATATCCACTCAGTATGCAAAAAAAAATGTTGGGAATCATTAAGAAAGGAATAGATAAGAAGATAGAAAATATATGGCCTCTACATAAATCCATGATATGCCCACATTTTGAATACTGCAGTGAGCTGTGATTGCCCCATCTCAAAAAAAGAGATATTGAAATTGGAAAAAGTTCAAAAAAGGACAACAAAAGTGTTTAGGGACATGGATGACTTTCACGTGAGGAGCAATTGATAAGACTGAGAATTTTCAGTTTGGAAAAGAGACAACTAAGGGGACTAGACCCATGAATTGAGTAGAGGATGTAGGTAAAGAAGTGCTATTTACTCCTCATAACAT